ATCTTCTGTCAAAGAGTTAATTTCCAATCAGCTTTCCTGTTGAATATATATGCAGCTGTTTCTTCAGTTAGGGCTTCCACGAAAAGCTAGGGTTAATTAGGGTTAACCTCAAGACTTGGCCACAAGACTTTATCAATCAGATTAGGGTTGAGCTCAGTTAACCTAAAGTCCACGTGAGATTCTGTTCTGGAATGTATGAACCAAATTCCTGAAAAATCTCAGAATTAACCAAACTGCATAACTGTTAGATCAGTACAGGATGTCTTAACATTTGTTATGACAACATAAATCATGTTTACTGATTTTTGTAGAAAGTAATAAATGTGATCATTGCAAAATGCTCAGATACACACTCATAAATAGCAGCTTCTGTATGCCATTCTTTTTCTGCATAAAGTACCTAATAACCCAGAATGTTATGACATCAGTCATGACATTCACACACCTGGTTTTACCAAAAATACGTGCCAATAACTAAACACTTACAATATGTTTTTGTGTGTAACTAATGTGTATTAATAATAATTAGTGAATAATTAATTAATAAAATTAATTCGATTGTTTTTTTTTAAAATGTTAATTAATTAATGATATTCAATTTAAATTTATGTTTTAAAATTTATTGAAAATTTGAAAAATAGCAATGAAGTTTTGGTTTAAATATTGTAATTATTGGGAAGGAGGTTTTACTTTTTATTCACTGTTTGTGTTTTTTTTTTCATGTCAGAATGAAGGTTGGTTCAGAGATGAATTTTTGTATATTTTAAAATTGTTGTTTAACTTAAAATATTAACATATTTATTTATTTTTTATGTAATATTAATACATATATTTATTTTACTATCATCTCAAACATATTTCCAAAAAAAAATATAGCTACAAATAATTGTAATTTTAATTCTAAAAAAGTTTGCAATATTATTTTATAAATTAATTACATGTAATATTTATTTTTCTTATAATATTTTGAAAATTTTATAAATATTTATCTACTTATCAATGCACTCAATTTTACGTATATTCCTTAGAAACTCTCTCCATTTCAATTATTTATTGTTCAAAATAGATATTTGAAATCATAATGTTCAAAATTCTTTTTAATTATTTATCAATATTATTAATTATTAATAATAGTTAAATAAATGAATATTAAAAATAAGTAATTACTACAATTTTAAAATAATTTTACAGCAATAATGAGTAATTATTACGATTTTATATTTATGATAGATGTAAAATATGTCAAATTACTTCTAAAATAAATCGTTCTTAGAAAAACAGTCTATAAATAAATATGATCTAAGAGTTATTTTTTTTCAAATTATTTTAATATTTTATTTTCTATTTTGACTTGGTCTTAAAAATAAGGCAATCATATATATTTACACTTATTAATATATAAATTATATTTTTAAATTATTTAGTAATGATTATGATTTTTGAAATTTATTTACAAAAATAATAAATTATTATTATGATTTTATCAATGTGATATGTGGACAATAATGGAAAAAAGAAATGAATAAAATTTTCAATACACAATCATGGATTTTTTTTAATATTTTAATTAGACTAATATAACAACTATTTTAATATTTTTGATAGTTATTTTATTTTATTTTTCTATTAAAAATTTTACATTTTTGACAGCTGAATGTAGTTTCACAATAATATATAATTTTTTTAGTGAATGAGATAATATAATTTTATTATATAAGACAACTATTATTATAATTTATTATTATTAATGAAATATCATATTTATTATTTATAAAGATATTATGTGACCTGTGGAAATGCGTTAAATAGCTACTTATTTGTATCGATTTTGAAACTTTTATTTTTATTAAATTTTGAATATGTATAGGAGGATTATTGATTCAATTGGTAGTAAAATTGGATTTTTTAAATTCTAGATCTTATCTTTTATATATATTCCAAGACATTGAAAAGACATTGAACAATCAACTTGAACTAATATTTTAAAAATTGGATTGAACATCTTGAACTATTATCTAATTCAATTCGATTTGAACAAATAAATAATTAAGTTTAAAAAATTGAAATAAAATTATTTCAATCGCGAAAAACTAAAATAACTGTAAAATCGATACCGGTTTTGATGAACTAAACGGATCAAAAAAATAAAGATTTTTTTTTTATGTTTTATTTTATTTTATTTCTTTATTTAAATATATAAAAAAATTATAACAAATATTTAAAATTGTATAAACGGAAAATAAAGAATAAAATTTAAAGACACGAGATAATGTAAATACAAATAGAAAGAGAAAAAATAATATAATATTTTTAGACACTTGAACACTGAGTAACTGATGTTAATCTTCGAAGAGATGTGAAAAATTATACTGATAAAGAATTTGTGACTTTGAATTAAATAATAAGGACAAATATATAAATATTCTTCCTTAACTAATTTTTTTATTTGTTATTGAGTGTTACATTGCATTCTTGATTCTTAACTAATTTTATATTACATACAATATCTTTTTTTAAAGATCTAAACCGCCTCATAAACACTTTGAAAATTGAAAAGTTTCTCTATCTATCATATGGAAAAACAAATGTAGCATAACAAGAATCCTTCGTTATCATTTTAGATTTTAACAAGAATGATTCTATAAAATAATATTCAATCAATTAAATTTTTTTTTTTTATTTTTAAATATCATATACTTTATAGAAAATCATATATGAATTTATGATATGATATATTCCTTCTAATTAAAAGTATTACATGTATAGCTTTTTCCAAATAATGTGTAATACGATTAAATCTTCTACCCACCCGAGCACATAAAATTACAAAATATGTAGTCAAGTAACATTCTTAGTACTTGACTTATAATACTTAAATAAAATTATATAATATCAATAACATCCATAAATTTACAATACATAAGAATTTAAAAATTATAGACATGTCCGATTGAACGAACATATTTTTCCACCCATATATCTGGTTTAATAGCAATTACAAAATTATATCAAAGATATGTTACACGATCTTTACTAAAAATAAAACTATGCTATATGTTTAGTCACGTTAGAAATCACAACAAATCCATTCTGAAACATTTTTTCACGGGATTGAAATTTTCCACCAATTAAATTTTAAATTATAATGACAAAATATTTATTTAAATTGAACAAATATTAGAGATCATATGCTTAATGACTTCTAATTTACTATATCATATAACTTCTAAATTACTATACAAATTTAACAAATATAATATTATTCAATTCATTAAATCTAATCAAATTATTTTCAATTTTAATATGTTATTAAACTAATATGTTTTTTTTGGTGTATAATATGTTTTATTTTATGATATTTATTAATAGAAATTATAAAATTAAAATTATAAAAAAATATAAAAATTATAGACATGTATGATGTGTCAAACCTATTTTTCTACTCATATATTTAATTTAATAGCAATTACCAAATTATATTAAATATATTCGCATAATTTTTGGTAACGGAAATAATTTAAAAAATGAGTTAATTAAAAATGCGAGTATTAGATTTCTAATAATGGAAAGTCATTACAAAATTAATAATTAGTGTTTATTATAAATTAATTAAAAATGAATATTAAAAAATATGATTGTTGGGTAAATGATTTTTTAGAAGACGAAAAGTTATTAAAATTAATTGAATACTAATTATTATTATAATTTACTTATTATTATTATTTATATTATTTATTATTATTATTATTATTATTATTATTATTATTATTATTATTATTATTATTAGGCTTAAATGCAGTTTTGACCCCCCTAGTTTAAGGTTTTTGGAGTTTCGATCCCCCTAGTTTAAAAGCCAGGTTTCTAGTCCCCAAAGTTTTCAAATTTGGGATTTTTGAACCCCTCTCCATCTGGCTGCCCAGAAAGTGACATGGCACAGGGAGAGTAATGCCACGTTTTTTTTTTTTTAAATTTTTTTTTCTTCTCCTCATGGGCAAAATTAAGGTTCGAAAGGAAAAAAAATTTTTTTAAAAAAATAAAATAAAAAAAAAATACGTGTCATTACTCTCTTTGTGCCATGTCACTTTTTGGGCAACCAGATGGAGGGGGCTTCAAAAATCCCAAATTTGAAAACTTTGGGGAGTAGAAACCTGGCTTTTAAACTAGGGGATCGAAACTCCAAAAACCTTAAACTAGGGGGGTCAAAACTGCATTTAAGCATTATTATTATTATTATTATTATTATTATTATTATTATTATTATTATTATTATTATCTATTCTTTAGGTATTTAAAAATATGGAGATTAGCTGAGCAATATCACGCGAGTTTGCATGAAAATTAAAATACGATAAATATATTTTTAAAAATAATAAATGAAAAGAATAAAAGAATAAAATAAAATAATAAATATTTACTTTTTAAATTTAGTTTTATACAAATAAAAAATATTTTTAAAGAAAAGATAAATTTTATTTGAAAAAATATTAACTTTTTTAATAATAAAAAATTAACATTTATTTTAAAAAATGATATAAATATTTATTTTTGTAAAAAAACACGTGAGATAATTATGATAAGTGAATACACAAATTTTGTATGAATATATAATTTTATTATTTTTTAAATTTTATATATTATTTATAATAATATTGTGTAACCATGTAAACGACAAATATATAATTATTTAATTATTTTCTTTATTTTTTATAATAAAATATATATTAATTTATATATATTTTTAAATAATAATTCTATAATATTTTATTTAATATTTATATTGATTTTGTACTATATGTGCAAACCCACGTATCTTTTATTAGATATTAAAAAAAAAGACACCGCAATGACATTCTTATTTTTACTTATTTTGTGGCTCCTACTTCTGTCGCGTCAGTTTCTCTTACAACAAACACGCGTTTTGGGAGACAATTTCCTATTCCTTCCACTCGTTTTTTTCCCCTACCAATTTAATAATGATTTTTTTTTTTGCCTTTACAAAAATGATTTTTTTCCCTCTTACTTTTATTCTCCACGTGTATTCTAAACAACACTTTCTCTTTCCACTTTCACTTTTCACATCTTCTTCTCCAATTCTCGGTTCCATCATTTTTATTTCGAACCAGATTTTTCTGACGGAACCACCGTGCCGGAACTATCACGCCGCCGCCGTCGTCTTCTTTTCCGGTAAGAGTAAGTCTTATCTTGCTTTATTTTGTTCAGTTCAATCTTCAAGAACAGAAAATCCCTAATTTTTTGTTGTTGAAAACCCTAAATATTAATCCTCTTGTTAAACCTAAAAGTTATCACCTTTTTCAGTTATTGTTTCAAATTAGTAGACACTAGTTATTCATTTTCATTTTAATTTTGTTCGCAATTCTGATTTTGGTTAGTTATGTCTTTAATTTGTGATTAGGTTATTTTCCTGCTTATGGATTGAAATTAAATTCTAAAATCGGTATAATTTACTACTATATTCTCTTGTTGGATCCAAGAACTTATGAAATATTGATTATTCTTTTGTTTATTTTGAATTTTTTAGTGAAATAGATGTTGGATAATAGAGATTAGCAAGTTCTTTTGATTGAAATGATCATGACTATGATTTGATACTTGTGTAGTTTTTTTTTAATTTATATTTGTATCCTATTATAGAAAATACTAAATAAAGATTTGAGATGCACTTTATCCTTATAAGTTACGTTCACATGAAAGCTATTAAAAAAAAAAACTTTTTCAATTCCACTTATGTAGAGAGAGTATCTGTACAATTAATAAAAAAGTAGTATATGACAAACAATTTTTCAATTCTGCAATCCAAAAATAAAGTGAACTTTATAGTATAAAGAATACAGATAAAAGAAACCAAACAAATCAAATTGAAAAACTCCATAGTGACACCTCAACATCTTCAAAGTTTGCATCAATGTGTTCATCCTCATGTCCCAAGCTATGGGTTGGAGACATTAGTGCCATATTCTTTAACATTTCTGGAATGGTCAACTCTTTCTCCTCTTCTTCCTCTTCCATATGAAACATAAGTTGCTCTTCAGTGGCGGAAGCTACTGCCGTGTCAATGTTAGTCGTTAAAGTCTTGTCTGGTCCAAAAGCGTCATCTGGTTCTAATGTTTTGTCTGGTATGAAAGCGTCATCTGGTTCTAAAGTCTTGTTGTCTGGTCTGAAAGCTTCGGCGGCTTGAGTAGCCGCCTTTTGTATATCTTTTGTCTCGGTAGTGGCTGGAACAGGGAGTCGCCATGCTGAGTCTGCAAAGTTGAGACAGGCGTAACGACCTCTCAATGCCAATGCTGCAACATCATGAGCTCGGGCTGCCATCTCGGCTGTCGGAAAAGTTCCTAGCCAAATTTTAGTCTTCTTGTTAGGCTCCCTCATTTCACATACCCATTTATCTAAGTTCCTTCTCCTTACACCCCTGTACACCGGGTGGCGAGTCTCCTTGAACTTCTTCCTCCCCGCACGCTTCTTTGGTGTACTAGCAGCTAACCGCAGTTCCTCGTTGAAAACTGACATGTCACGAGAGACCTCTAAATTTGGCAATGCCATGTTGGAGGAAGTGGAAGGTTTTGAAGGACTGGGTTGTGAAGTGGAAGAGTTGTTAGTTGGAAACATAATTATGAGTTGGAGAGAGTAGAAAAAGGTATTGATAGTGAAATTAGTGGCTGAAGATAGAGTTGGTGTAAAGATTGTGAAGAGTAAGGTGTTGTATATATAGGAAACCATAGTTGAAGGAAAGTGATAAGTGTGTGAGAGTGTTTGTGAGTGGTAAGAGTGTGAGAGTGTTTGTGTGAGTGTGTGATGTTTTGTGTGTGTGTGTGTGTGAGAGTGAGTGAGTTTAGATATTTTATAAGTATATGAGACAGCTGATTTGCCTTGTGATGGGTTATATTTGAAAAAGAGAAAGGGAAAGTGATAGTAGAGAGAGATTGAGACCCCACATAAAGCTCAGAAAGAGTAATGGTTTTATTATCAAAATATCTTATATGATACCAAATGATATTTTTTATTCCTCGACAAAGTCTACTAAATAAGGTAATTAAAGCAATCATAAGAATATGCTTCTTTGAGTAAAAAAAGCTCTTAACTTCTTTTAATACATATTTTATTAATAATATTTATATTTAGAAAGAAATAATGCTCCATCTTGTAGATGTGAAATGTTAATACATTAAACAAGCAAAAAAAAAATATTTAAGGTTAAATAAGTTTTTGGTCTCTCTAAATATTTCAAATTTTATTTTTAGTTTTTCTAATTTTTTTCTTTTAAAGAATGATCCTTTTAAAAAATTAAATTTTAATTTTTGGTCCCTCTTGACAAAAATCGTAGCTAAAATGATTTTTAACTTCGTCGCTAAATAAAAACCATCGTTAAATTATAGGAGGGATCAAAAATTAAAATTTAATTTTTTTTATGAGTATCATTCTTTAAAGAAAAATTTTAGAGGGACTAAAAATAAAATTTAAGATATTTAGAGAAACTAAAAATTAATTTAATCTAAAATTTAAAGGAAAAATATAAATATATACTATGCATTATTGCATATGATGTTTTTATTTTAATATTCAAACAAAAAAAAGTGGCAGGTATATAGATCACTTGATTTTGGAATTGTGTAAGTAATAGGAGTAGGTATCGATTTTTTTTTAATAATAACTAATTTAAAAAAAATACACAAATAACCATGTTTCAGAAAAAATTACGCATATGATCATGTTTCAGAATACACTTAAACAAAGGAATCAACTCAGATGATGCATGCTCTTGTTTTTTTATATGGAGGCGCCAAGTGAGATGGCGCATAGGTGACATGTGTTTGTCCTAAGCCATCTTAGATGGCACCTAAGTGCTTTTGTGGGACATATTTTTTTCTTTCAATTTTAAATAAAAGACAATAATGAAACGATTTTGCTTAATGAAAGTTTGATTTTCAATAACAATTGAATGATTATATAATGAGAATAAATTTTACATATGATTTAGGTGTTCCCTGGAACTCGGTAACGGCCTGTAGTTTCGCACTCGCGTCCTTGCCTAACACGTGGTGTATTTCGATGAATTTCCTATTATGGTTGGGTCGAGGGTCCAGCGAAATCAATGCGTTTAGGATCTATGAAATTCGTCAGATCAGTATATCTGAAAGATTCACTTTGAAACAGTTGGTTACCCATGCCCTCAAAGTTGGTCGTATTGGTGGAGAGTGGGGTTTCATGAGTGGTCGATAACATTAGTCGTCTAAATAAGGGGGGTAAAAAGGAAATGAATCTTGTGGAGTTTGATAATGCGATTGTTAGGTGTTATGATGATGTGATGGTTGATGGTAAGTCGGGTTGATTGAGTCATATTCTTCAGGTAGGCCTAGATCTAGGCTAAGGTGAGATGATGAGCGGCTCACATCGGGATGTTGGATGTATGGTCTTTGTTCAAAGCACTGGGATTATGTGTGGGGCTTGTGGGTGTATTGGCATTGAGGTTCGAATTAGGGTTGACTGTGGGGAAATGGGTGTATTAGTATTGAGGCGGTGATTGGGGTTGGGTGTTATTGGATTCGTATTGTTGTGGTGGTTGGTGGAAGTTTGATGTGTGTTGGGTTTGTTGTTGGGGATTTGAGGATTGTGTCTATCGTGTGCGTGGATCGATCAAATACCTTGGGTGAGAGACGTGTATTTCAGGGTTAGCAACCGATATATACCAATCAATATACTGATTTGTGTGTCGCATACTATTCTGGTTGAGGAAAACAGAGAATTGTAAAACATATTGGTTACGCATACGCCACATCTTGTACCATTTCGGAACAAAATCTTTCCAATTATTAACACCCCATTGAGTGTCGACCCTTTTGAGATGCCAAGGTGACAAAGAAGTTGGATCGCATCGTATTTCTTGCATCTTGACACGATCATTGTGGTGCAACTCCGTAATATTGAACCATATGATTGCAGTCTTTGCAGTCCAAATTGCTGCATCCTCGGGGTTGGGTTCATGGTCCAAACCTAAATATAGTCTCCAGATAAACTGTGGATAAAAATTAATCAGAATAATGAAAAAGATAAAATATATAATTTAAAAGTAATTTTTTTAGAGGTATCACGTACATCATCCGGGCCAAGGTGATTCAAAAGATTACGTATAGAGCGACATTGAATCTTGGATTCTTGCTGTAATTCATATCCCTTACACAATATCTAAATGAATGGAAAAAATAATAATTTTATACATATATTTGGCGAAGGGATGAATAATAAATTATTTAAACTATTGACTTACTTTGTTGCGTAGAGGAAAATGAATGCATTGTTGTTGACAGGGTTTAGGGACTTTGTTCTCCACCAACCACATGCTTGGAACAAGAAAGCACATCCATAAAAAGTACATTTGTCGTTTGTTATATTTTTACATAATGAACTATCTTGTAGCATTTTTACATAATGAACTGTAGAGTTGGGCTAAATCAGCGGAACCCCAATTATACTTTCTTGTTTTATCAAAGTTCTTAAGCAAATTTAAATACATAAAATTTACACCATTCCCTGTATTTTTGGGACAACTATGGAGTGAAAGCTACATGAAATATATTAAGGCACGAGATGTCAAAGTCAACACCCATCTTATTATAAGGTTCGATCGACATAGCCACAACTTCATTTTCAAAGTGACAATCGACCATAACGGGGGTTGTCAAGACAAGAGTACATTACCATCTCGTTGGTGCGATTGTGGAAAGTTTCAAGCTTTTCGTGTGCCTTGCTCTCATGTCATTGTGACATGTATGTATACTCATCAAGATGCATTACTACTTCTATTTTCCATTTATAAGTCTGAAACCTTGTTCAGCGTATACAATAATGACTTTTCAGTGGTAGCGAAACCTGATTATTGGCCTGCATACGAAGGGAAAATAGCATGGCACAACGATCAAATGCGAAGGAATAAAAATGAAAGTGTATCACAACTGAAATGGACTCCTTTGACAAGCTAGAAAAAGTGTGGTTTATGCCGTCGAGACAGACACAATCGCAAAAATTGTCCCACTCGTGCTAGAAGCTCGGCAACATAAAAATTGTATGCAAACTATCTGCACTTTTTAAGATCAAAACATAATTTTTTTTCATTAAGAGCATTTGTTACAACAAATCATACGCAAACAACAACCAAAAACACATCACCGCCATTACGATAAAATACAACATGTAAATATAATATCAACAACACAATAAAACATCTAAGAAATTAGAACCATCAAAACAATTTCATCAGAGTCATGCATCATCACCATTACGTCTCTGTCTATTTTGACTTTTTCCAACCAAGATTGAGGTCTTCCAATTGCAAGTAAGGTGGTGGTTCTTCTTCTCTGGATCTTTTTAATTTATTCTCTAACTTCGAAGTCTCTCTAGCCATCGCATCAACTCTCTTTAGACGCTCTATGAAATGAATGTGCCAAAATTTCATTTTCATCGGAGGTTTGATAGCTGAGAAAATAACGTATTCGACTCGGTGAAAATCATGAGAGATGTCATGATGTAAAAAACAGAGAGAAAATGAGAAGAGAGTGTGAGAAAGTGTAAAGAATGATGGAGAAATAAGTATTTTATTTATAGAAAACACACTTGCATGTAGGAGTCATCTCAGATAGCGCCTCATATCCATGTCATCTTAGATAACACCTCCTATCAATGTTATAGTGTTTGTCATTTCACATAATATAAAATAAATATATGTATCAAGTGAGATGGTATCTAAAACCAATAAGTAAGAATATGTGTCATTTAATTAAATATATTATAAAATATAATTATTTACGTAATTTTTTTTAAAATATAATTATTTATATATTTTTCTTCAAAATAGGATTATTATTAAAAATAAATTTATAGATATCTCATCTTCAATTATTATTATTACATCTAGTTGAGTTGACAGGTATTTTTCCTTTTCCTTTTATAACCTTGAATTCACTTTCGGAAAGGGACGCAGGCTTGAATTATGGACACGGAAAACTGACTTTCCTCTCTTACAGCCACATCTTTATTTGGGACTATAACATCCACATGTTTATACTCAATTTGTTTCTATTTATTTTTATTTGGAATATTATTCCATTATTCCATATATGGAGCGTAGAAAGCATTTCTAAAGGGATAATATCAAACGAAACATGGCAATAAAACGTTTGCATACGTGTACATTCTTAGTGCTTCAGGTGCGTGACTTAATTTTATATAAAACTAGTAATAATTCCGAGCATACTCACGAATTTATTTATATAATATATTTATTTTAAATAAAAAGTTTTAAAAAAAAAATTAAGATCAGTAATAGATTTTTTGTTTTTTGAAGACGTCAAACTTTGATTATAATAAAACACAAATACAAGGTGATCTCAAACCGATCAAACTCACATGGTCAAGAGAGAACAAATGTTAATCTATTACATCATAAGAAGAACAATATATTTTTTTGGGAATACTACTATGCCAACCCCTAAAGATGATGTTATCCATAATGTGTCTTAAGGCTTGCAAGTAATCAACTTTCTCCCCCAAAGCAAACTTTATTCCGATATAACCAAATTCCATAAATCGTCTCCGTTATAGCAAGCTTAAACAGAGTACACCTCCAACCTTTTCCCTTACACTTCTCAATAATCCATGGCAATTCCTCATTCCAATTCTTCTGGGTATGATTAACATTAACCCAATTAAGCACGTCAATCCAAAATTGTCTCAACCCAGAACACTCAAACAAAATATGATTGATATCTTCAATATTAGAGCAAAAGCAGCACTTCGAATCTGTAATAAAACCAAATCTAACAAGCCTCTCCTTTGTAGCTAACTTGTAATGAGTCGGTAGTCAGTTGGAAGTCTCTCATCTGTAAAAACCCTGCCAGAATATAGATTTTATTATATATAAAAATATTTAGATCAATAATATATTTTTTTATATACTATTTTTAGATTATAAATGTTATTTTTTATATATAAAAATATTTAGATTAATAATTAATTTTTTTCTTGTATATAAATATTATTTTTGTTTATGTATTGTTTACAAAACCATCTCAATAATAAATTTTCATATATAAAAATAATTAGATCAATAATAAGATTTTTCATGTATAATATTTTTTAATAAAAAATATTTGGGTCATAAATATTATTTTTCATATACAAAAATATTTAGATCAGTTTTCTTGTATACGAATATTATTTTTGTTCAGGTAACGTTTACAAAAATATTTAGATCAATAGTAAATTTTCTTATAACGAAATATTTAGATGAATAATAAATTTTTTCCATATACCATTTTTTGATCAGCAATTAAAATTATTTAGATCATAAATATTATTTTTTCGTATATATAAATATTTAAATTAATAATGATTTTTTTTCGTATACAAATATCATTTTTGTATAAGTATCGTCTACAAAAATATCTGGATTAATAGTAAATTTTCGCATATAAAAATATTTAAATTAATTAAAAAAAAACTCGTATACCATTTTTGAATTAAAAATATTTGAATCATAAATATCATTTTTCATATAAAAATATTTAGATTAATAATATATTCTTCCCCTTATACAAATAATATTTTTGTTCAAATAATATTTTTGTTTTCATTCTAATCGGTCACGCACTTTATTTTCATAGATAGTAATTATTGTTTATAAAAATATTTTTATCATCAATACACTTTTTTTTCAATTATAAAAATATTTGTATCAATAGTTAATTTTTTTCAGATTATAAAAATATTTAGTATAGTGATATTTAAATTATAATCATTTATGCATCATGAGTAATTGATTTCTAAAAAATATATTATTATAATTATACACTATGGTATTTTCAATCTGATTTAATTAATCGGTAAAATATAAAAAAGTTAATAAAATAAAAACATCTAATTTTGTTTTATAATTTTAAAGTTCCTTTAATCAACAATGTATTTGCTTCACGTACATAAATATAATTTTTGTTTGATATTAATTTTTGAATAATAGTAAAGTGAAAATATTTACATATAGACTCTTTATGATATATATTATAAGTTTTGACAATATCATGGCTAGAATTTATATATATTATAAGTTTTGACAATATCATGGCTAGAATTTTTTGGGGTGTTCGCTGACGGATTTGTTTCAGTTTTGATTTTTAAGGGGTGTTCGCTGACGAATTTGTTTCGGTTTTGAGAGAATTTGATATCTAAATTAATAAAAGAAAAATGATTTAGTTTGAATTGAATTTCTATATTTATATAATAAAGCCCAAATCAAATCAATTCGAAAAATAATAGATTAATTTAGTTTGGATTGATCGGATATATTAAAAATAAATATATAAAAATATTTCTTTTTAATTATTATTTACACACTAAAATATATGAAAAATAAATATTAAACACATGACACTTATATCTTTAAATAAGTTATGACCACCACCATGATCATATAGCTACTATATTTAACTTAATATTTAATAACGTTTGTGATGTGTGGTATCATTGATTAATATGGTTGGTTCTGATAATTTCAATGATGTCGTGTCGTTTTATTTTTCATTAGAAACATCGAGAGGCTGTTGTAACTAGGGGTGTTCAAAACCAAATCGGCCTAATAAAAAACTGTAAAACCGAACCGAATCAAATTAAAACCGCAAAAAACCGCATTTGATACAGATGTGTTTGGGTCATTTTTTCACAGAACCGCGCGGTTCGATTTGCGGTTTATATTTTACAAACCAAACCAAACAAACTGCATTATATTATAAAATCTTACTAACCAATATATATTTATTTAATTCTTTAGAGAAATCAACATGTATTATGTGTATATTGTATCATACTTTATATTATATTTATTTTAATTTATAAATCATAAAAAACAAAACATTATTTATTTATAAATACTATTTTTCACAAAATATATTTTATCGTATTCTTTGTATAATGTTTATTTAAGAATGCAATCTTGTTTATATCATTCTTTAGATTTAGATAAAATTATAAATACGCAATTTTATGTATCAAATTATAAATTTATTTTGACAATTATAAATTTTTTTATGGTAATATATGAACAATTAAACACAAAATTATATTATCTTCTATATTTGTATATATGCCTTAATAATTTAAAAAAAAAAAAAAAAAAAAAACCGAATCAACCAACCAATCCATCAAATTGCATTAGTTTGATTTGGTTCGAATTTATTTTTAAAAGTCAATCGAACCAAACCGAACCGCATATTTTTTCTCTTGCAGTTCGGGTGATTTCTTACTTCAAAACCGCCCAAAGCGTACCGCAAACACCCCTAATCATAACTGTTGGTACTTGATAATTACGGGGACTCTTGATTTCTTTCATTACTATTGGTACTTGATAATTGCTATGACAATTATTCTCTTTATTTAAATAAATAAATAATAACTCAATTAAAATTAATAATTTAATATATGAATTAATTATGTTAACTTGTATTGGTTTGGTTCGAATTTACGCGTAGCAAATTAGAAATCCGATACTCAAACCAATTAATATGGATTTTTATTGGTTCCAATTCAAATATATTAATTTGATTTAAATTTCAATTTAATTTAAATTTGTCCCAACCACTTAACACCCCTAAAGACTTTGATATTGATAATAAGGAAGGAAATCTATGGACTTATTTTTATTACTAAGTCTGCTACTAATTCAGTCTTAGTGATTTTTTTGATAGACATGAATTTAAGATTTGTTTTTGAATCTTGTGAATACTTTTCTTACACTGTGTTTGGTATCAGTGAAAATGAGAGGAAAGATTGATAAGGGAGAGAAAGTTTATGGAGAATCGGTCCCTCCTCTATTTGGCTCTTTTATAAAAGTGAAGGAAGGATTGTTGTTTTTTGTGGGGTCCACACTCAAAATACTTTCCTCTCAATTTTGGATGGAAAGTTGTATGCTGCCACTTTTGTGAACAAAATTCCATAAACCCTTTTAAGAACAACGATTATAGATTTCCTTTTATATTTACTATAGTATATGTTTCTACTTTTTTGTATTGGATCCTTTAATAACTGTAAAATTACATTTATCAAGAAAATACATAAAAATTTATCTTATTTTAAGTCTTAAAAATCTCAAGAGAATATACAATATACATTAATTTTATTATATAAGATTATTAAATAAATCAAATAAATTTGGCCAAAATAATTTGAGGCAAAAATGTAAAGTATATAATCTGAGTTTATATAAAGTAATAAAAAAAATATTGTTTAACAATAGTAAAGAGGTAAAATTACACAAACTATTTAAATGTTATTTTTTTAATTATAGAAAAATAAGTTTATTTTAGTCATTTTATATTACTATATCTTTTTTTCCTCTCACTTTCTTTTCACTTTCACTCATAACAAACAACTAAAAGATCATTCTACTTTTCTCTAACTTTCTCATCACTTTCATTCTTTTAATAATCTTTCCTCTTACTTTCTATCCGTTCACTTTCTTTTCTTATTTGCAAGTGATGGCCATCAATGCATTTAGGCTGTGTATTGTAGACTATTTCATGTGAATAGGAAACAACTTTATTGTATCTTCCTTTATCCGGTTTAAAAATTATAAAACATGATTGAAAACTACTTTGAATCCTTCATAAAAAGGGTATACTAATGATGAATAAAATATTATTGTCCTGCATTACTTTGTGTGTATTAATAATATGCACATGCTTGTTCTGTCACTGTATTTGTTTTAATTCAGCAAAAACAATTCACGAAGAATTAGTTTTCACATTATTCTGTCTTATTTGGTGAGCATGAAAGATATATATTCAACTCAGTGTTGACTCGTATTTTATATTCATGAAGCAAAGAAAGCAGTTTATTTACGTGGTAGTGGAAAATATGAAAACTTATCATTGGACATGGATACTATTTAAATAAGAGAAACGAAAATAACTACGACGAAACGACAAGTACAAACAACTACTATAAGACGATCTGAAATGCCAAAAAATATTCAGACCACAAAGTGAGTTTTTTCAAGCAAAGTAGTCTGAATCAAATATGGATCAGACCTAAGCACGAAACCGGAGTTAGAGTCTTGCATGCTTGAAATGAACGATCGCCATAGTGGACCGAGGATGAGCTGTTGATAACATACCCAAATTGGTTAAAAAAGAAAAATGCAAACCATCATAACCACCAACTATGAGGAAGGTCATCAGCGGCCGACATGCACAAAGTTTGGCAATGAAAAGAAGTTGTAAATGGACTTGCATCTGGATAAAAACAAAACAGGACCAACTCTACAAACAGGATAAAACTGAATCAAAAGATTGTTTATATTTTGTAGGAACAATAAATGTATATCAGCCCCCTGTAAGATAATACCAGTTATATATGAAACTATGAATGTAGCATGATATTCAAAAATTGGATATATAACAAAAAATTGAAATGTACTACAATCACAAATGAAAAAATTATGTGACTGAAAAATGGTATAAACTTACAGATAATTGAAAATTACTGGCGTTGGTTATCATAAGACCACCAGAAGACAAAAGAGATGAACTCCTTGCTAAGGTTCCAACGCGTAACCGATGCCCTTCCATAGATCTTATTTTCTTGCATTGTATTGCATCCTAAATCTACACGGACATTAGTTAAAAACAAAGCTTCAATTAACTTGATGCATAGAAACATAAAGCATAAGGTTTTAATAAATCAAATGTTAATTAAGCCTAAGCATTACAAAGCTTGAACATACAAAAATCTGTGTGGCCAACTCATTACAAATTTTAGGCCTAAGCATTATGTGTCTTGGCCTACTCATTGGGGAATTAGCTCAAACACTTGGTGTTTCTTCAAAATCAGTCACATTTCAAGTCATACTCAGTGCATCAATCATCAATTCAATAACAAAATCATCCAACTCAATTCAAGAATCATGTTGTAGTTCCCGTTCAGCCATACCTTTGCAGAGGCGCTCAAAACTGTGTACAACCTTAATCATGTAGTATTCACCCATGGAATCAACAACTGAACTTTTATGTTCAATGAACCTTTCAACACTACACAAGATTGGAGCTTTTGGAATAACCCTGCAAATTCATAGTGATATCAATCAATAACAATACAAATCTAAAAAACTGATAACAATCATTAGCAACACAAAGCTTACACAATGAGGTTATATGATTCATGATTCACTCTCTTGGCAAACTTCTCCCACTCTTTTCCTCCAAACAGATCTAATAATCTGCAAAACTAAAGCAATCACAGAAAAAACCCTAATCTAATAATCTGAAAAAATAAAACAATCACATAAAAATTTAAACTTTGAGATAAATACATTTCATGAGTTTCAACAAAATATATACAGAAAGTTTGGAGCTTTATGACACATCTACCACCGCGAAATCGCACACTGTCGTGAAATTGCCGAAAACGTCAGATCTGTCGCCATCAACTCTTGGCTTGAAACAAATAGAAATGGAAACCAAATCATGTAAACCCTAAAAAGAGGAAAGCTTAAACTCGAATGAGTCATGTTAGAGATTCGGAAAAAAAAAAACTTACTTTTTTATCAATGGAAGACGGTGGAAGAAGCCACGTCTTTTAGGACTTCGCTACAGATTCATTTCGCAGTTTTTCACTTGTCTGTATTTGGTTCAAAGAAAAAGAAAACAGAGGAATAAGGAAGAAGATGAAGAGTGAGAAGAAGGAAAAAAAGAAAAAGAGGAAGAATGAAGAAGATGAAGAGTCAGAAGAATAAAAAAGAAAAAGAGGAAGACGAAAGCCGAGGAATAGTGAGAAAAAGGAAAAAGAGAGGATATGGGAAACAATAAGAAACAATGAAGATTGCTGAATGATAAGGGCACACACATGACAACATGGTTGAGCAGAAGGGAAAATTGGTATTTGACATCGTCAAAATGTTCTTGAACAGGTTAAAAAATGCCTTTCAAATATGTGGAGTTTTGCTTTACAAGTTTTATGCATTGAATGGAAGGTATTACATTATATTCAATATATTTGTAAATATTAAGGTTTTGTTTTATAGCTGATGATCCAATACTAAGGTCTTGTAATGGTAAAAATACTAACATTTAGTTAGGATATAATTATAATAAATAATAAGGTTAAATTACATTTTGGTTTCTCTATTTTGTTTGATTCACGAAATTATTTCTCTATTTTAAATTTAAATAATTTTGATCTTTTTATTTTAAATTCAAACAGTTTTAATTCTTTTCTCATATTTTTTTATAGAAAATCGATAACATTTTTTTATTTTTTAACTTATATTTTCATTTATAAAGTTCAATAAAAGGTTTATATACGATGATTTTTCATATTTTACAAGTAATTTATCATTTAAAAAGTTAAAATATCATTAATTTTAAGTACATAAATATGAGAGAGACCAAAAATGCTTAAATCTAAAATAGGAAATCAAAACTATTTAAATTTAAAATAGGGGGATCAATTTCGTAAATCATAAAAAATAAGAGGACTAAAACTGTAATTAAGCCAAATAAATATTATTATAAATAAACTTTCAAATTTAAAATTTGTAAAAATAAAATTCAAATATAATTATAACTTTAAAAACAAATATTTCATAATTGAAGTTGAAATAAAAGTAAACAACACAAATATTCAAACTAATTATCATATAATTAATCATATGAGCTATTTCGTCGCTCTTCTCTTCTATACCATGCTATCTTTTTTCCATCAACTCCTCTAAATCTGACTTTTCGTCATATCCACCAAAACTTTCATATCTACCACCAAAAGTAGGGGTGGCAAAACGGACCGAGTCAAGAATTTAGGTCCTCATCCTCTAACGTGACTGTTTTGTTCTGTTCCGTTATCTTCGCGGGCTTTTACGGGTACGAGAATTAACATAATTTTTTTTTTTTAGGCTTAAAAGATGTAATGCCTGCGGGCTTTCCCCACTCCATACTCATTTTTTTATGGGACGAACCTTAGTTTTAGGCCCTCATTCTCAACTATATATGTCCCGCCCCGTCCTGTTTTTTTGGGAGCTTTTGCAGAATGGGCCTAAACAGAGCGGGTCTGCCCGTTTGTCACCTCTAACCAGAAGTTTGGTTCATTTATGAGAATATAAATTATTTAAATTTATATGCGCACTCATTTGTAACTCACAACGCTTCTTTTATTTCTATTTTTTTTCTCATTTCATCCTTCAAATATATTTGTTTTTTTCTTATTTTATTCATTTATGTCTTCCTTTCTGCTTTGTGTATTGTCTCATTATGTGCTAATTTTTTCATAGTTTTTGCCATTTTAGTGATTAATATTGATGGACGTGACAATTATTTTCCATCAGCAACTCTCACGCTCAAACATGTATTTCATGGCTTGTAATTTGTGGTCAAAGGCCTAACACCATACATCTCTCATTTTTCTTCTTCCCTCGATGTGATATAGTGGGAGAACTGACTTGAAGGTTTTGCGTTTGATCGCAAATATTGCGGTTAGCAAGAGTCACCACCGACTTTTCTTTTATCCAAAAGGAAAGGTGAAAAAGCACAGGAAAGACCTTTGAGATTGTTTCTTGAGTTCGGGAGGGGGGGTAGATTATGAGAAGGGAAGGTATTATCACCCTTTTCATCCATGATTTTCCATGGGCTCTTAGTTACTGGCTAGATCACTTGCTTTTGTTTGAAATTATACTTTGTGTGGTTTTTGAAAGTATTTTGTAAAGAGGCCATTGTTTAGGCAATCTTTGTAATGATTCTCGTTCGTAAGAATGTATACCAAGATGTTTGTCTTTTTGAAAATGTTTTCAATGTTTGTAAGATTTTTGAAAGTGTGTAGGTGTTTGTTTTGAAAATAGCAAGGATATTTGTTTGAAATGGAGCAAGTAACTAAAAGTAATCCACCTACTCAAATGTCTTTCTTGTTCATTTTCTTTTCCTTTAATATTGTTGTCTTACCATTGATTTGGTAAGCAACCCTATCTTTGGATGTAAGCGGGACAGGCGTGGGTCATCGTATAACCATGATTAGCAATGTTGTAAAGTATCTTAGCATTTTTTGAGGGACTAAGATCATTTTGTAAGGCAACTTTAGATAGCGTCATCGAGGGACTATAATCTTGTATTTGTTTGTTTTGCTAAGATACCTTACATGCGTAATATGACCATTTTTGTTGTAATTCATATCCCTTACACAGTATCTAAATGAATGGAAAAAAATAATAATTTTATACATATATTTGGCGAAGGGATGAATAATAAATTATTTAAACTATTGACTTACTTTGTTGCGTAGAGGAAAATGAATGCATTGTTGTTGACAGGGTTTAGGGACTTTGTTCTCCACCAACCACATGCTTGGAACAAGAAAGCACATCCATAAAAAGTACGTTTGTCGTTTGTTATATTTTTACATAATGAACTATCTTGTAGCATTTTTACATAATGAACTGTATAGTTGGGCTAAATCAGCGGAACCCCAATTATACTTTCTTGTTTTATCAAAGTTTCTAAGCAAATTTAAATACATAAAATTTACACCATTCCCTGTATTTTTGGGACAACTATAGAGTGAAAGCTACATGAAATATATTAAGGCATAAGATGTCAAAGTCAACATCCATCTTATTATAAGGTTCGATCGACATAGCCACAACTTCATTTTCAAAGTGACAATCGACCACAACGGGGGTTGTCAAGACAAGAGTACATTACCATCTCGTTGGTGCGATTGTGGAAAGTTTCAAGCTTTTCGTGTGCCTTGCTATCATGTCATTGTGACATGTATGTATACTCATCAAGATGCATTACTACTTCTATTTTCCATTTATAAGTCTGAAACCTTGTTCAGCGTATACAATAATGACTTTTCAGTGGTAGCGAAACCTGATTATTGGCCTGCATACGAAGGGAAAATAGGGAAAATAGCATGGTACAACGATCAAATGCGAAGGAATAAAAATGAAAGTGTATCACAACTGAAATGGACTCCTTTGACAAACTAGAAAAAAGTGTGGTTTATGCCGTCGAGACAGACACAATCGAAAAAATTGTCTCACTCGTGCTAGAAGCTCGGCAACATAAAAATTGTATGCAAACTATCTGCACTTTTTAAGATCAAAACATAATTTTTTTTTCATTAAGAGCATTTGTTACAACAAATCACACGCAAACAACAACCAAAAACACATCACCGCCATTACGATAAAATACAACATGTAAATATAATATCAACAACACGATAAAACATCTAAGAAATTAGAACCATCAAAACAATTTCATCAGAGTCATGCATCATCACCATTACGTCTCTGACTGTTTTGACTTTTTCCAACCAAGATTGAGGTCTTCCAATTACAAGTAAGGTGGTGGTTCTTCTTCTCTGGATCTTTTTAATTTGTTCTCCAACTTCGAAGTCTCTCTAGCCATCGCATGAACTCTCTTCAGACGCTCTATGAAATGAATGTGCCAAAATTTCATTTTCATCGGAGGTTTGATAGCCGAGAAAATAACGTATCCGACTCGGTGAAAATCATGAGAGATGTCATGATGTAAAAAACAGAGAGAAAATGAGAAGAGAATGTGAGAAAGTGTAAAGAATGATGGAGAAATAAGTATTTTATTTATAGAAAACACACTTGCATGTAGGAGTCATCTCAGATAGCGCCTCCTATCCATGTCATCTCAGATAACGCCTCCTATCAATATTATAGTGTGTGTCATTTCACATAATATAAAATAAATATATGCATCAAATGAGATGGTATCTAAAACCAATAAGTAAGAATATGTGTCATTTAATTAAATATATTATAAAATATGATTATTTACGTAATTTTCTTCAAAATATAATTATTTATATATTTTTCTTCAAAATAGGGTTATTATTAAAAATAAATTTATAGATATCTCATCTTCAATTATTATTATTACATCTAGTTGAGTTGACAGGTATTTTTCCTTTTCCTTTTATAACCTTGAATTCACTTTCGGAAAGGGACGCAGGCTTGAATTATGGACACGGAAAACTGACTTTCCTCTCTTACAGCCACATCTTTATTTGGGACTATAACATCCACATGTTTATACTCAATTTGTTTCTATTTATTTTTATTTGGAATATTATTCCATTATTCCATATATGGAGCGTAGAAAGCATTTCTAAAGGGATAATATCAAACGAAACATGGCAATAAAACGTTTGCATACGTGTACATTCTTAGTGCTTCAGGTGCGTGACTTAATTTTATATAAAACTAGTAATAATTCCGAGCATACCCACGAATTTATTTATATAATATATTTATTTTAAATAAAAAGTTAAAAAAAAAAATATTAAGATCAGTAATAGATTTTTTTTTTGAAGACGTCAAACTTTGATTATAATAAAACAGAAATACAAGGTGATCTCAAACCGATCAAATCCACATGGTCAAGAGAGAACAAATGTTAATCTATTACATCATAAGAAGAACAATATATTTTTTTGGGAATACTACTATGCCAACCCCTAAAAATGATGTTATCCATAATGTGTCTTAAGGCTTGCAAGTAATCAACTTTCTCCCCAAAGCAAACTTTATTCCGATATAACCAAATTCCATAAATCGTCTCCGTTATAGCAAGCTTAAACAGAGTACACCTCCAACCTTTGCCCTTACACTTCTCAATAATCCATGGCAATTCCTCATTCCAATTCTTCTGGGTATGATTAACATTAACCCAATTAAGCACGTCAATCCAAAATTGTCTCAACCCAAAACACTCAAACAAAATATGATTGATATCTTCAATATTAGAGCAAAAGCAGCACTTCGAATTTGTAATAAAACCAAATCTAACAAGCCTCTCCTTTGTAGCTAACTTGTAATGAGCCG